ATTCATGTTCCCAAATTTAGCCCCCAGGAGCAAGCGTGCTCTGGCACAGTCCGTGGGGTGGTGTCATTGCTCCCACCCTCCTCCTGCTGCCATTACAAGGCGTTATGGTGACCGTGCACGTCAGAAGTGAAGCAAGCTGCCAGCCTGGCTTGCTGCTGCTGCGGGGGGGTTGGGGGGGTGTGTGTGTGTCCCTAAAATAACATTGAGGTCCCCCTGTGTCTCGTGCAGCTGAAGGAGGTTGTGCTGAAGAGCGGGAAGGTCCTGCGCGCCGATGTGTGCGTCGTTGGTGTCGGTAAGGGGCCGTGGCTGCGGGGGGAGAGCTGCCACACGGGTCTGCGCAGCGAAGCTGGAAATGGCCTTGCCAGAGCCTCCACCCCAAAATGCAGCTGAAAAATGTGTTTAGAACATCGTCATGGTTTGGGGTTTTCCAGAAAACCCATTCAAACCAGTTTCATCCTCTCCAACTGTTTTTTTTAAAGCCTCCCCAAAGTGAATTTTCCCCCCCCCGTTTTTTTTTAATTGCTGCTGCTGCCATCGAAGAGGGTATTTTTCTCCTTTACGCTTGGGGGGGAAAAAACCCCTTTCTCACTCTGTAACTTTTCAAAATGTTGTGGAGTGGAAGAATCCCAGGATGAGTTTAATTCTGCTTTGATTGTTTTATTGTCTACTCCAATTTGGGAAGGCTAGAGGGGAAAAAAAGATCAAAAAAGGAAAATGAAAGCTGAAGCCAAGGTACAGATGGGGGGGACGGGACAGAAGAGCCCTGTCTGGCAGCCTGAGGGCTCCCTTTTAGACAAATGTTTTTCCAAGTGTCTATAAAAGTGGGTTGCAAATGCTCTTCAAGCCTTAGGAGAAGATGGTGGCAGAGGGGAGCGGTGCCCGGGTGGCTTGGAGAGTGGTTGGGCCCTGGGGGCGAGGGTGCGGGGGCTCCGTGGGGCGCCTGGCTCTGCTCCCCCCTCCCGGAGCCACTGGGCAGGTTATCCTGGCAGGGGGGATCCGTTGGCCTTGGGGTCCCCCCTGGGGCTGCAGGGACACCCGGCTACCCTGCCGGCAGCCCTTGCCTTCCCCGCAGGCGCAGTCCCAGCGACCGGCTTTCTCAAGCAGAGCGGCATCAACATCGACTCCAAAGGCTTCATCGTGGTCAACAAGGTGAGCCTGGGGGGCAGCCCCTGCCAGGGGGCAGGGCAGGGGGAGCTGGCTCTGCACCCCCTTGGGGCACTGGACTGCTGTTGCCGCGGCGTTTTGTCTGCTGGGAGCATCAGGCTGGAGCACCTGGGGCCCCCCTGCACGCAAGGGATTTGCAAACCCAGCCCTGGGTGCTGTGGCTTGGGTCCAGCTCTGAGCTGTCCTGGAAGGGGGGTGGATATTCTGGGAGGAGAGAAATGGAGAAAGATCCACCTTTCCAAGGATCCCAAAGGATCTCTTCTTTCCTCTCCACCACTGGTGACTCTGATGGGAGCAGTGTTGGTGCCGAAGGGTGGTGAGTGCCGTGAGCGAGGAGCGTGCTGGGGGGCTGGGGCTCATCACTGTCCACCCCTGCGCTCACTGCTTGTGCCTGCAATAAGCCAGGCCCCCTTTGCAAACACCGACAGACCCCATCTCCTGCCCAGGGCCTCCAGTTCACCGCTCTGCGTCTCTTTTTACTGGGTGACCCACCGGCAGAGGGATGTGTAGGTCCCTGCCTGCGTGCGCTGCTTTGAAAGCGAAGGACACCAAATCAAATCCCAGCCGGGGGTCACGCAGCCCAGCAGAGATCGCCCATGCGTCCCTGGGGACCGTGGCAGCTCTAGCGCAGTGCCCTCCTGTAGGGTGCCGACCCTGCTGACGCACACTTCTGCTTCCCCCCCTGCAGATGATGCAAACCAACATCCCCGGAGTCTTCGCGGCCGGTGATGCCGTCACCTTCCCGCTGGCCTTGAGGAATAATAAGAAGGTGAACGTCCCGCACTGGCAGATGGCCCATATGCACGGTGGGTGCTTTTCAGCACATTGCTTATGGGAAGGAGCCTTCTCTAGAGCCCCAGGAAATTTCCAAGCCCTCTAGCGAGAGAATGCAACAACTGCCAACAGAGCGGGGCAGCTGCATTCAGCCTGTGAAGGCTGCGCGTTCCACCCTGTCCGATATGCCGCCGTCATCTGTCAGCTGCCTTGATGTGCGTCACCTAACGATGCCTCATTACCAACACAGAGGTGCCCAGGGACAGGCTGTCCCATTCACCGTGTGCTCCCTGGCATCTGCCGTCACTGCAGGAGCCTGATCTTCTCCTTGCCCTGGGGCACATAGGAGCTCACATCCTAATGTCAGCTCGGGCTGACGTCCCCAGCTGGGCAGCCCGTGGTGCCGGGCTGGCCCAGGGGCTGCTGCAGAGCTTAGACTTTTCTCCCCTTCGCACCAGCAAGCCTGGAACCCTGGCACAATCGGCCGCCCTCGAAGCTTCCCCAGGCCACAGCCCTGTGGGGACGTTGGCCTCTGGGTGGGTGCCCTGGGTGAGAGGCTTTGGAACCACAGCTCCAAAGTGAGCTTTGGGACACAGCCCCCTTTCATGCTGGTCCGGACGCACTGCTTTGGAGGGGATAGTACTCTGACGGTCTCCATGCCCTAGGGGGGTTTGTCCATCCCACCCCCCTTGGCTGTGGGAGCTCAGCAAGCTCCCAGCCCTGTCCCTGTTGCAGAAGTTGGGCTGAAACAGGCTCGTGAGCACGTTGCTCGTGCCAGTGCTGGTGGTGGGTCCGCAGGAGCTGCCCTGCCAGGGGAGCCCAGCCTCAGACGACATGGCACGCTGCCTGGTTGCTCTGCGGTTTGGGGTTTTTTAGCCTAAGCAGGAGACCTTGGTTTCCCTATGCTCTGGGACGAGACCACAACACTTGCCCCAGCATGCAGCTTCCTCGCTTATTCTGCCTTCCTCTCTTCCAGGGAGGATAGCCGCACTGAACATGCTGGCCCACGGCATGGAGATCAGCACGGTCCCGTATCTGTGGACTGCTATGTTTGGGAAGAGCATCCGATATGCGGGTAAGGGGCTCCCAAGGCCGCTGTAGAGTTTGTGCTGGTGGAGCTTGTTGTGGTTTAACCCCAGCTGGCAGGTCAGCCCCCCCAGCCGCTCGCTCGCTCCCCCCCAGTGGGATGGGGGAGAGGATCGGAAGGGGAAAAGTGAGGAAACTCGTGGGGTGACGTAAAGGCAGTTTAATAGGGAGAGCAAAAGCCATGCACGTGCAAGCAAAGCAGCACGAGGGATTAATTCCCTGCTTCCCATGGCAGGGGGGTGCTCAGCCATCCCCAGGACAGCCGGGCTCCATCACGCGTAATGGTGACTTGGGCAGACAAACACCATCACTCCAAAC